TCCGCCGCCGTGGAGGAGCCGGGAGACACAGGGGCAGGCGCCTGCCGAGGGGCCTCGGACAGCGGGTCGGGCAAGAACCGACCGAAAAATCCGGGTCCCCGAGCGGTGAAATGAAAGCCAGAAATTCCCTGCAGCAGGCACGGTGCAGCCCCGGCCCCGCGCTCCCCCTTCTCCCGGCCAAACCCCGCGGAGTGGGGGCGAAGCCTCCCCCAGCTCCGTCACTGTGCCCCGCACGGTGGGACCGAGACCAAAAACGAGGAATGCGGGAAGAAACTCACTAAAGGAGAAGCTTGTTAAATAATTTATTGATTTATACAAAGTCTTTCCAACCCGTGTGGAGATACTATTTGATCCCAATGTAAAATCAAGTGTCTGTTTTTCTCTCCTGCTTTTTTGGGTTGTTTTCTCTTTTGATATTATTAAGCATAAAATCCAGAGGCAGGAGAAATCAAACCGCCAAAACACTGAGGAGAGGGAGGGAAAGAAAACAGCCGTTTTTACACTAGAAATATACATCACAAAATCTGAAATTTACTATATACAAAGTGGCTGAGCTTGGATTTGGCGACCCATACAAAATGTAACAAAATCTGATTGTTAGGAGCAGGAAATCAGCAAGAAGGCTAAAAGAAAGAGGGGCAAACCTTAAAAGGACACAAAACAAAAACCAAAAAGTTGGAAAAATTCCTCTGAAATTTACATCGATGAGAAGGAAAATAATTTCATAACTTATTCTGTAAAAAATATATACATTTCACATACATCTTAGGCTGTACAACACACCACTTTAAACATCCAGATACAATTCGTCTCCGTCACGGTGCCTACCACAGCAGCTGTCTCCGTCACGGGGCCTACCACAGCAGCTGGCCCGGCCCCCTGCAGCAGCCGTGGGTGCCCATGTCCTCACAAGGTGTCCGAGCTGGTGCTGCAGGGGCTGACAAGGGACAGGTTCGTGGATTTGTGCTTCTTCAATAGCCTTGTAATTTTTTCGTCATCTGAGTTGGGGTCCAGGGGCTTGTTGTATTCATCATCGTCCTCATTGTCCGAGCTCTCCTTCAGCTTCTCCGTCTCCGAGTCGTGCTTCTTCTTCGCCGAGGCCATCTCTGCCGCATGCCGCTTCCGCCACTTGGTCCGTCTGTTCTGGAACCAGACCTGGGCACCGGCAACGGACACAGCTCAGCCCAACTGCTGCGCCCACACTCAACCCCCTGCCCGCCCGACGGCAGACAGGGCCACGGCCCCCTTCCCTTCCCACCAGCACGGGGGTCTGGGGGCACACAGGGCAAGAGGCTGGAACACGGCGCAGCCACCGCTGGGCCACAGCGCGGGGAGCGGGAAGACCGCAGGGCCCCCGGACAGCACCAGGGACGGGGCTGGTGGTGACACACTTAGGTCATCCGCCCAGCTCTTCCAGAGATCTCGCCAGCTGGAGCTGTGCGACAGTAAAAGCTGCAGTTTTGCAGAACAATTATCAGTTGAAAACAGAATACGGTGGCCAGAAAAATAATAATTTTTGGCGCCCAGTGCACTTCAACGCTTCGGTGCACCCCAAGTCTTTGGTAAAAAATTTGAGTGTGGTCATGCCAAGGAGCAGTTGTGCCAATTACCAGACACAGCCTAGGCTGGAAACCGACCCGTTAAAAGCAATTATCTGTGGGGGGGGCTACGAAATTGTGTAGAAATTGGGCTAAAATCTATCCAATATCCAAATGTAATTTAAATTATAATTTACTTTAAAAAAAATCCCTGTACGGTTGTACAGTGTTAACGGTCGCTGGGAATTACTGCAAAAGCAGCAACAGCCCACCCTCAAGCAGCACGCAGGAGGCGGCGGTGGTGGGAGCCTTTGCCCACCGGTGCCCCGGCACCCACGGGGACCTACCTTCACTTGGCTCTCGGTCATCCCCAGGGAATAGGCCAGGCGGGCTCTCTCCGGTCCTGCCAAGTATTTCGTCTGCTCAAAGGTTTTCTCCAAAGCAAAAATCTGCTGCCCAGAGAACGTCGGTCGCGAGTGTTTCTTCTTGCCGTCCTTGTCCAAAACCATCCCCGTCTGAGCTGAAAGCGGAGGAGAAACAGCTCCGTCAGAGACCGGCTCTGC